TGGCTCCGTTAGAGGGTCTGGTGGTTGCTTGGTCGGCTCTGGTCGGGTGTGGGCGCCGGCGACGCTGTCCCATGGTAAATCGCAGTAGATCTGGCTCCGTTAGAGGGTCTGGTGGTTGCTTGGTCGGCTCTGGTCGGGCGTGGGCGCCGGCGACGCTGTCAATCTGTGGAGCTGGAAGCTGAGAACTGGCGACTTTGTAGTACAACTTTAGTATGCGGAGTAGCTGTGGAGCTGGAAGCTGAGAACTGGCGAGTTTCTAGTACAACTTTAGTACGCGGAGCAATCTGTGGAGCTGGAAGCTGAGAACTGGCGACTTTGTAGTGCAACTTTAGTACGCGGACTAGCTGGGAGCTGGAAGATGAGAACTGGCGACTTGGTAGTACAACTTTAGTACGCGGAGTAGCTGGGGAGTGGGAAGATGAGAACTGGCGACTTGGTAGTACAACTGTAGTACGCGGAGCAATCCGTGAGCTGGAAGCTGAGAACCGGCGACTTTGTAGTACAACTTTAGTACGCGGAGCAATCTGTGGAGCTGGAAGCTGAGAACTGGCGACTTTGTAGTACAACTTTCGTGCATTATGCCCCGTATTGCGGACGTGCGACAACCGCTGGTGTTGTTGGCTAGTTGTGGCTGCGCACACCTGTGTGCACAATACCTCGTACATTCGTCGTGCACATCACTCTCTTGCACCTTCTCTCCCACCCCTCTGTTGTCGGAAGCTGATATCACTTCCTGACAAGGCCGTGTTGTAGAAGCTATTGAGGCTCTGACTGCTTTGTGCTTTAGAAACTTAAGATTCGTAAAGACTCATATGTGGGGTTATCCGGTCCTTTAATTTTCTTTCACAACACCTCACCCAACCCCTTGCACACCACCGTCTCAACTTGCCTTTGCAGCATTGTGTTGTGGTTTACCAGCTTGCTCATCGCGGATTTGCAGGATGGAAGTTGGATTAGGGAAGATGAAGAAGCATCTGTCAATCGCGGCACGTCTAAGCCCGGCACTTGGTGTTTTGTTTTGAGCCGCCTTTAACCATGCAGGGCTTCAAACTGATGTCAATGTTACAACCTTCTGATGTATTTTTGTTTTTTTGCCGCCTCTGAGTTGCGCTTGTTTCGAGAAACAACTGTTTTGACCACACTTCAAGTTTGTGTTTTTCCCTCCAGTTTTAAGGACAGATTGCTATGGCTTCACATTGCCATCAGCGTGAGTGCTTTTCTCAGCAGCGTTACGCCTAGCGTTCCACTTGTTTTGCCCTTCTGTGGCTGAGGTGAAACCAATTGAGAGCAAGGGTTCCCAATAGTTTCAACGAATTCCATCTTTGGAGTAAATGTAGAGTGGATGTCGCTGTGGCATGACCGTGCATCACTCACAAGATATGAGACACTGCGTTGACACTCTTGTCCAGCAGGTTGTGCACACAGCGGGTGCAGAAACAGTGAACCAAAAAGCTGTTCAAGATACGTTTCACTCGGGCAATGTATACGCCCAAGCACAGCCACGAATCCAACCATGCATTGTGGGAGAAGGTAAGTGCTTGATTTTGAACCGGCTTTCCTGAGAGAAACTTGAAAAGAAAACTGGAGGAATATATATTGAAAATTCGTGGAAAAGAAGTGGACAAAGTTTGGTGTGCCTTTGACAGGGTTAAGCAAGAAGGGGGAAAAGTATTGACAATTTTGAGAAATTCCGACCAATTGGTCTTGGGAGCAGTTCTTTTGAGAAATCCACAGGTTCACCCTCGGTTGCGTTTTCCTGCAAGCTCCACGAGTGGATTGCGGGCTGGAAATCCCTCATTGTTTTTGTGTTTTGAGCAAGTATGTACAAAAGTGTTTTTTGCAGTTTTGGCTTCGGGAGTTGGGGTTCCGGTGAACGAGGCTGGGCTCTCAGGAAATCAACCACCGATTTTGGTGAAATCAACCACATTTTTGGGAAATCCGTCACCAGCTTTGGGAAAATCTGCCTTCGATTTTGGGGAAATCCGTCGAAATCCGTCACCGATTCTGCCACCGACTTTGGAGAAATTTGCCACAGACTTTGTGGAAATCCGTTGCCGATTTTGGGGAAATCTGTCACCGACTTTGGGAAAATCCGTCACGGATTTTGGGGAAATCCGTCGCCGATTTTGGGGAAATCCGTCGCCGATTTTGGGAAAATTCGTCACGGATTTTGGGGAAATCCGTCGCCGATTTTGGGGAAATCAGCGACCGACTTTGGGAAAATCAGCCACCGATTTTGGGGAAATCAGCCACCGACTTTGGGGAAAAACTGGCTCTGTTTTAGGGAAAGACTGGCTCGCTTTTAGGGAAAGACTGGCTCGATTTGGGAGAAATTGGTTTGGTTTTTGGATTGGCTTGCGACAAAGCTCAAGTCTCACTGTTTTGAACGCCAAACATGTTTGGGTTTGGATGTCACTAAAAGTAAATCAACCGGTGGGAAGTTGGAAGGGTAAAATGCTCAAGCCTATAAACTTTGATATCGAAACTGTTTTGGGGTTCGTGTTAGCGACTTGTATGCGATGCCACAAACACAAACTGATATACATAGTTCCTATTGAGGATGAACATACTTAAATAAATATTAAGATATATAGGTAATTATATATTGGTAAGCCCTCGCGTGGCTTAACATACGAAATGGTTTTTGGTGTTTAGAAAATTGATCAAGGGTGCGTGAAAACTTGAAACGGGGGAAAATGGTGGTGTTGCGTTGGTCTTGGATGAGGTGTCAATTTCTCGAAGGTTTGGTGTGCAATTCATGTTTTTGAGGTGTGGGTTTGATAGTTTTTGGTACAAACAAGGGGTTGGAAAGGCCAAAACATGATGCGCATCACAGCACTTTGTGGTGTGAGTGATTTATTCCCTAGATTCTGTTTGGAGAACATGCATAACTTTGTGGTAGAAGCTGACACAGCACTACAGGGGAAACAATTCTCAGCGATATATTTTTTAGGCAGAGCTTTTCGGAGTTCTCGGCACCTCGTGGTTGCTCCAGAGCAATCGGCTCAAATTAGCAGAGAGTCTGAGAGGCTGACTCCAAAGATGGCACTCAGCTTTCTGCACAGAACTTTCAAGGTCGACTCAGCCAATCATGACGGACCACTTTTGAGGCAGATCGGCAGATCGTACTTGGGGCAATGCAGGGTTGGTACTTATTATAGACTAGACTGGACTGCTAGGCTAGACTAGACTAGACTAGATTATTTTGTGAGTTATACTTATACACTTAGACACTAGATTAGGCCTGTTCCCAAGAAATAGAGATCATAAAGGGAGTCTCATCATAGAGGTCACATAGTTGTTTGCGCGCGCTGGCAGGGGATGTATCCATCGAGGGCACCTTGCTGCCAAAGAGCGCTCAAGATCGAGGCCGCCATACAACATGGAAGCAAACATGAGTAGCAGCAGGCCACAATGGCATTCACGATTTCTACGGCAAGGAATACAAGAAACATAATTACTGATTACTTCTGATTCGATGTTTTTTAAAACTACTATCAATCGTGAATTGTTTCTTTAGATGTCGTCGGCCTGGAGGGGGTGCAGCGATTCAGACGATCCTGATGCTGGTCATGAAGAGCCATCTTCACAGAGGCAGCGGCGGCTCATCGGATTTTGTGAGAATCAAAGTTGAAGTGAACAGTGAAGTGGTTCCGTGGCCATGTTATGCAGCAATTGGCAATTGACATTGTTGTTTTTTACTCATCCCGGACTCATCCCCGTTCTTGACTTGCAGGAACTATGACAAATCAGAGGATCTTTGTGGCGGTGCGAGTCAGCCATCTTCGTTGAGGCACAGCTTCGACTCACAGCCTGTTTTTGTGAGTTGGATGAGGTATTCAGTTTTGAGGCACAGCCTTAAAAGACTTGTGCCGCTGTGCTGCTAGTTTTGTAGCCCTATTTCGATCAGCCTGTACCTATACCGCCTAAGGCTGAGCCTGTACCTATGCACATGCCTATACCCACACCCCGATTCCATGTTATAGAAAAACGGCCTGTTTTGGGAGGGAGATCAGCGACAAAGACATGGAGATGCTGAGAGACAATGTGCGGAAGAAAACCGGGCGCCTCACGGGGCTTCTGATCCGGCCAGAATATGCTCAACAGTTTTTCACCTGCGGGAAGACTTTAGAGATTCGCAGCAAGCCGATCAAATTCCTGGAGAGAGGGGATGGTGTAGTGTTGGTCAGTTCAGGCAAAGGCTCCAACCGGGTCTGCCTTGGGATTTTGAGGTTCATTCAATCCCTGAAGATAGAGGATTGTGATTTTTCAAGATACTACGATTGCCACAAGCTCAGTGAAGAGGATTACAAGTGTTTGAAGGCCGGCTGGAAGAAAGCTGACCAGGAGAGCTGTTTTGCTTGGCACTTTGAGCCGGTGCATTGTTTTGACGAGCCTCTTCACTTCAATCGGCGTTTTATTGGCACAGAAGTTTGGATGTACTTTGATTTGTCATGCCTGTGCCTGCGCAAACAACCTTCCGAGCAAACTCGGGGTGACCAGGGCGCAACTTTGGAGGATGTCTCGCCACACCCTCAACCGGCAGAGCCAGGGTCAGAGACCCAAGCCAGCCGAGACTGGCCACCTGTTCACTGGGCCAATCACTATTTGACTTCGGTGGGCCTAAACCACGATACTTTCACCAAGCCTTTGGATGAGCCTATAGTAACCCATCTTGATTTTGATTCAAATTGCAATACTCAATGGTCAAGTGACAAGGAAACGAAACAAAACAGTTCCAACATATCACACTGTGCAATCAGGTAGTTTCAACGGCCTGCAGCGGTTCCGGAGCACCGTCCCATGCGCTCGCCCAGCTTATTGGCAAGACCAATTTCCACGAAGCTGTGAGCTCTGAGAAACATGCTACTAGGCTGTGGAAACTCGCAACCTGTGGCGCCTGTGGTGCACAGTTACATGCAGTTACCCAAATGACATGTTCTTTCAGAAGTTTTTTTCCCATGTCAAAAGGCAGACACTGCTTGTTGGCTGATGCGGAACTTTGATGTGAATCACTGCTTCCGAGATATACGCAGTGCACGGACTGGGCATGATGCGAGATTGGGTAGGGAAAGGCTATTAGGCTATTGGCTATTGGTGGTAAAGTAGTTCGCTGCGTCTGCAGAGTCTGCATGTTGCATTCTTGCAGTTTGCGTTCCGCAACGTTTGTGGCGCATCACAAACAGCTTGTTGGCAGGACTGGTGGATACTGTATGAAGCACAAATCGAACTGCGCTGCACGCCCCACTTTCGAGACCGAGGCCCCGTTGTTTTGATCCTGGATTGGGAATCTTGGAATTTCAATCCATGGCAGGGCTACGAGCCAGAGGATATTTACATTTCCGGCTTTGTGTGTAAGCTATTTAGCCAGGACTCCTTGAGTACAGTCAGATTCAAACATGACGGGTCAGCAGACTGTTACATGCCTCTTCACTGTTGACCACCAGGAGAGCAACGTCAGGTTCCACCATGCAACCGTGAGTGACATGTTCACTGACCCCAAATTTGTTCCTTAGCCGCAACGTTAATGGTGGTGCAAACTCTTAGCTACGTTGGCAGCGCCACTTCTCTGAGGCTGAGCGCGCTCTTCCGTTCCTGGAAACATCTCGTTATGTTAGGTCGCACAGGCCGCGGAGTCTCAGCTGCAAAGGATAACTATTATTTGAGTCGAGTCAAGGGAACTACTCACTACTCAAGTTACACACAAAAGGTGCTGTATTACACTTGCAGCAGTGCAGCGCCATGCTTTGATCTAAGACTGAAACGGATTCGTATTTTTCCCAAACAAACAGTGACAGGTGACCTGTGACCTGTGTGGGAAATTTGGGCTTGAAGGATTGCAGTAGTCAGTTCAACCAATTCTTGTCCAGTTTTGATTTCATTTGTTGACTAAGGATCGTCATTCTCGAGAATGTCTCAGGCTGCCTGAAATCTTGCAAAGGTGTTCCAGACAGCGATCCATACAAGGCCACGGTCCGGCCGGCCGTTCGTAGTTCGTGGGACATGCTGATGTTCGGGCGTTGCGCAAGAGAGCAATTATCTAGTCTGCTGTCAGTCTGAGTCTGACTAGAATAATCTAGTTTGCAGCTTGTTGTGAGCAAGTGGGGCGTGAGTCGGTCAAGCCACTCAACGAAATGGCTCAAAATCTCAAGGTTGCAACTTGCAACACTTCAACGGCTGATTTCCCACATGTCATAGTCAGTTCACTATCGCAATGCCAGCGCTAAGCTTTTTGTATGGGGGGCAAGCAGGCTGCGCGAGAACGAACGATGGACGGGGAAGGAGGCATCGGCATCGTGGGCCGGAACCCATGCCGCCCATGCCCATGCCCACTTCAACACCGCCACCGCCACCACCGAATGAGTATCCAGACTCTGGAGACCCGGGTGAGAATCAGAATGAGAGTGGAGATCCTGGAGATCCAAACCCAGGTATGACAAGGAAGCGTTCCAGCGGCAAAGCGCATGGGGCCTTTGTTCGTTTAGGTAAAGCAAGAGCAGCAGCTCGGCGTGCCAAAGCTTTGTTTGACTTCAGCAACGACGGTGCGCAGGATTGCGCCCGTTTGGTCTTTAGTCGCTTTGGCCGTGGTCGCAACAGCGCTGGCGTCAGAGTACTGTTACATGCTCCACATTGATCACAGTTTTAATCTATTTTGAAGATGTTATGTTTATGTCACGTTATGTTATGAATATGTCACGTCTGTCAAGCAAACTCCAAATTCCACCGTAGCCTAGGCCAGGTCGTTCATTGGCATTGACAGGGGTTGGAAGCGTGAGTCCTGAAGGGTTCTAAGCAGTGAACACCCCCTACCGCTACCCTACCCTTATCACTTATCTATCTATTATTACTAATTACTATTATAATTATAGTTATTATCTCATCTATCTATTTATCTATCTAATCTATCTATCTATTTTTATCTATAATCTAATCTTAATCTTATCATATCTTTCATCTTTCTGAATCTTTCCTGGGACGCATTGGAGCAAGGCAAAACTATTCCCTCTTTGAGAATCAAGGGCAGGTCTCTGGCTACCAGCAGGAAACCCGCGGCGATACGCAAATGACTCGACTGAAGCGAATTGCCATTGTTTCCCATATCCAAGCACAGCAGAATGCACTCCAGGAGATGTTGGCAGGCGATATTTCACATATCTTTGTCACCCGCACCTATGACGACACAAACGTCAGTGTGGCGCCGCACCTGCGCATTGCCAAGACAGTAGCAGGAGGAGGGGAAGAAGACTGTGATCAACCAGAAGGCAGCGTGGAGGCCAGTCAGTACACTGCTGTGGGCAAATTGGGCGGCCGGAGGGTCAGCCCATTGCTTGGCATTGCGCAAAGGATTTCTGTCAAGCACAATGGGGCAGACTTTATGCAAACTGCTCAGCTCCACTGTCCTTCGCAAGTCTTGCCAAAGGCACGGGGGCTGTTTAGGGGGTGTTTCAGTCATGGCGCAGTAGATTGTTTGAGGTCGGGGACACAGCATTTTGGAATATGTTAATATGTTACATGTTGGTGGAAAACATGTTTTGGAGAGGCCAACACAGCTACGCTGCATGATCGATTGGCAAAGTGGTCCTTGATAACTACAGGTTCATGCCCGGAAGCATGGGGCGGGGAAGCAACAGATAAATTGCTCAAGAAGATCCCGCTCTGCGTTCAAATCACTTGCACGGATTCATTGGTCGCCAATCTATGCGTTGCTGCTCTAGAGCAGCAGCAACTGGCACGCTTGGAGGGCCCTATGGACCAGCAAAGACTTGGCAGCATCTACGTCTTTTGCATGCATCACCAAGCAGCCCTGGCCAAGAAGCCAATGATCCTATTGTTCGAAGGCCTAGCCTCAGGCAGGAAAAGAGAAGGGTTTGGCAGCTTTAGGCTTTACACCGGTGAAAACTAACATGTTCGCAAAAAAAATGACCTAGACCAAATTCAGATGTGCCATGGTGGGCCCTACGGGTACTTGGCATGGTTCATGTTAGCCTCCACCGGGCTATGTTGACCTCTACCGGCGCGGTCTATGTTAGCCTGCGTTCGGTTTATAGTCAGATTATCAGATTGCAGTTGGTCCATTTTAGTGTCAAAATCGATCATAGACTGAGAGTGGGAACGGTCCATGTTAGTGAGGGTCCAGAAATTGCAAAAAAATGCGCTAATACTAATACCGTTTCCCCAGGAAGTCCCCGTTTCCAGTGGTCCATGTTAAAGCGCACTTGAAATTGAGTTCTGGTCTATGTTGTTTTTCCCCGGAGTAGGTCTAAAGTTCAGGTTCACTCGGAGTTCTTTGCTTCGCATCAATCAAACACTACTGCTGTACCGCGCCACTAGCGCTGCCAGGTTGCGTTCGGGCAGCTCACTCGATGAAGAGCTCCCTATTCAGGGGCCGTTTTGAGGCTGCTTTGGACTACGTAGCAGACCACACGATTAGAAAATGCATTGCGGATATGTCGGATCGCCAGAAACGAATCATATCCAGTAATCGGAGAATGCTTCAGCTTTGCTCCGGAAACCTGTCAGATGAAGAGCAGGAATTTGTATTGAGGATGCTCAATGATGACTGGAAAACCAAGTCGCAAGGCACGCTGGTCCACTTTTGCGCACCTACCTGCTGTTCCTGCAGCGATTCATGCCGAACCAATGTGCGGAAGGCTTTAGAACTTCTCTTTGGGTCCATGTTTGATCCGCCATTGCTATATAGATGGAAGGGCTGGGAACCAGCAGCCCACTACCTGACTCGAGGGCTTGCAGTTCACAGCCTTTTGATCTTCTTGTGGCAGTGGTGTATGACAAGCGAAGACCAGTTGCTTTGGCGCCAAAAGCTATTTTTTTGTTGTCCTTTACTTGTGTCATGACTCATGACTTGACTCAATGACCTGTGGCCGTCATTTGACTGTGACAGACAGGCTTCATTCAGCTCAGCTTGAAGAATTGGATGACCTGCGCGAGGACAGTCCAGACACTTCACCCGCCCTACGACAGCAAATCAGAATGACTAAAGTTTGCCACTTACTTCAAGGCGACTCAGCATTGGTTTCTTGATTGAGATTTATTTGAGATTCATTACCAATTACCGATTTTGTGTTGGCCAAAGCTTTGGTGTGGCCAGCAAGCTTTCCGTCGACTCAGCCTGTGCCTCTACTTTGACATCCGCTGTGCAAGCTGCAAGTGTTTGTTAGTTGTTTTCCCCGTTGCTGTGGCTGAGGTTATGTTTGCCAAATCCATCCTGGTGACGAGACCTCTAACAATGTTGATGGATCACATCAGTTACATTGAGTCGATACGCCACCGCCTTCACCTTCGCCGCATTGGTTTGGCCCTTGAGGAATCGAAAGTCACCCAGAGTGAAAACGACCTGGCACATCTAAACCTCCGCCTTGTGACCGGGGAAGCTGGATTTGAAACCGTGACGGAGTTCTACAAGCTTTTCAAGCCTGACCCAGAGCTTCAAGAGAGCTTGGCAGTTTGGGGCATATCATTGCTTGAGTTGGTTGACCCGGTCTTGGTGGGGATGGGTGACACAAGGAGAAGGCTGGTTTTGCCATACCAGTGCCAGCCCTGGCAATGCCTGAAAATTATCAGAATGAGTGGCGAGGATGGCCTTTTGTTTTTGAGGCAGGAGCACGACAAGGTGTCAAACTGCAGAGCATGCGCAGATACTGCATTCTTTCAAGCTCTTTGACTTCTCTAAAGTGAATTTTCGTGAGATTGCGTTGGCTTCCTCAGTCCACAGAAAGTAGCTTACAGCAGGGATAGGGTTGTTAGGTAAGGTAAGGTAAGTTAGGTAGGTTGGTAGTAGCAGTAGGACTGGGGTGATTGGGGTGAAAAAAACAGTTCAACATTTCCTTCACTCAGGTTCTTCTCCGAAACATCTTCCAGCCAAACTCCACGCGTTCTGATCAACTCAACTGCTATGAGAAGATGAAGGAGCTGGTGCGGGATTTGCTGTGTGAGCTTCCAGCTTCGTCTGTAGAGGCCAGGGCCTGGTCTTCATAGTGTGTCAGTACCAATGGTTTTTGAAATGCCTAAATGCGTGCAAGCAAAGTGCGGTAGTTGCGTTCATGGCCGCCAAAGGTTGAAAAAGGGCACGCCAACATCCAAGTCGACCAGAATCAGAATGGCCATGGGTGCAAGCGGCCACATACTATCCAGCAGGATTCGTTCGTTCTGAGCGCTTGCTTGGAGCATGCACGCATCAAGGCAGCTGTGGAGGATGAAGTCCTCGGTGAATCGAAAGCAAAGGTGTTCCGCTGCTTGCGTCATCGCTTAGTTGATAGCTCAGCTCCAGGTGCAGCTTTGTCGACAAAAAAGAAGCGACATGGTGAGCTGGGCGGCATTGGCAAGCTTCTTGCAGTACGTTGCGGACAAGTTCGGAAGACCTGTGTGAAAACCAGACAGATCTCTGCATACAATGCATTCCAATCATTTCGGAAGCAGCTTGAATCAAGATCAATGAAGTGTTGTTTCCATTTTCATGTTTCGGGGAACTCTAGTAGTAGAGGCTCTAGAACTTCAGGACAGGTGATGGTTGCGTAAAACCAGCTCCAGGTCTCAATGGATGGGAACACGGACATCTGATTGGCAACAAATGAACAAGATCATTGCAGCAGAGTGGCGCAGCTTGTCGGAAGAAGAGAAAGCACCATTCCGAGCAAAGGCTTCCAGAACTCAGAAAAGTAGAGCAGAGCTTGTCAAGACTCCTTTGAATGAAGCTGAAGCAGAACCAGAGGCAGCAGGAGGGGAAGAGCTGTCAGTCAACCAAAAGAACCGGCTCAACCAAGCCAGGCTTGACGGCGCTTTGGCCCAGGTTGCCCAACATCCTGCTTGGGGGCACGGCTTCGCATTGTCAGATCACATTGCTGCACTTCGGGCAAATCTCATTGAGATGGACATGGACCCAGCAAAGCTGGACGAAGGCGTTCGCCAGTACTTTGGGTATGACTCCAAAATTTTGCTCAATCCACAACTTCCTCAGTTTGACAGAGCGTGTATGATGTCATATGGAGGCGTTTGCTCGTGTGACCCCAATATCAAGTTCATCAACAAGCTGGTGGAACAGCTGGATGAAATCTTCGCTGTCAATGACATTTTGGCAACGAGAGTGTTGCTAAAATTGACACTCAATGTCCGCAGGTGGGAGCGAGTTCATTCTGGTGAGAAAGAGCTGTTGCAGCCTCCCGCACACCTACGGAAGCCCATGTGGTTTGTGTTGTGCTGTGTAGCCAGGAAGCCAAAAAGCCATGTCATGATCAGCTTGCGGGCCGGAAGTGCTATACGGTTTCCATTCAGGTTATTGCTCGGCTTCGAGAACGTTCAAGGTGGGCCTTGTGTGGAGACGTCCCATTTGCTTTTTGCAAAGCTCTTGAGGGTTCATTTGAAGCATGGCCAGCCTCTTTGTCACTTTGGCCTCAAGGTGTCTTGTCTTTCGGAAGTTGGGCACGGGCGCGCTGCATTTGGACAGAACCAGATTTTTCCCAGTCAAATCACTAGCTGGAGGCTCAACTCTAGTTTAGTATTAATACAATATATTAAACACAGTCAGGTGGAGGTGCACAAGACTTACTCTTGCTCCGTTGAAGAGAATGCTACGGATATGGACATGGATTCGGATTCTTCTTTGCAGTTTGTCTTGTCCACAAGCTGTCCAGAAGTGTCCTCTCAAGTTGGACAGGGATTTGTTAGCGAGAAAGAAACGAAGCATCGTGGAAGTATTGCAACTTCTAGGCTGAGATTTGGGATGTCTGAATTGATTGCTCCTCCTCTGGGCAAGAAAATCAAGGCAGCGAGCAGTGGCGAGCAAAAGCCACCTCAGCCAAAGCAGAATCATCGCAGTGTCCACCAGCTTTTTGTTGACCCTAATGATGCTGGCGGGGTCGAAGGTGCTACATCGTCATCGTCATCGTCCAAAATTGCAGGTGAGCCATTGATTCCGCAGCAAATGCCGGAAGAGAGCCAGCTTGCTGACCCTGATCAACCAGATCAAGATCTCTATCCTTTGCACTTGGCCCCAGCTGCCATGAAAGAAGCAGCCAAGGCCGCTGAAGTAGCTTGTGGAGCACTACTTGAAGAGGAGAATCCGGACAATGACAAGGTGGATGAACAGGGCAAGAAGAGGTCACGGACTACAGGTGGGGCAAAATTCCAACAAACCGTGGGGATACAACGGGTTGGGGCAGCGCAACGCCACGGGATGAAATGCTATCACTGTGGCGCTTCCATCTCTAAAGGCGATATGCGTTTTGAGTTTGCCTTCAGTGTCTCAAAGCCGGCCCGCTCGATTCACACTACTTGTGTGGTCCAAATGAACAGTGACGAGCGGGACCAGTCATTGATTTGTTTGGATAATTTAATTTGCAGTGGACTCGGCCAAGAGGAGCTCTCTGCGTGTCAAGAGGCCCTGTCCGTGCTTCGTGGAATTGACATGGCTGGAGCATGAGCACTTTCATTTTATTGACTAAATGGTGTAATTCGAGCATGCAGCATGAGAAAGTGAGCATCCACCGGCAAATGGTACTCCTGGACTTTTGTCTCAAGAACTTCATAACTTAATATATACAGTAACTGTGACTGTAACTGCTTTCAATGTTTTTCACTCCGAACACCGATGTAATGTTTGTATTTGCTACAGGCTAAAGGTGACCGTGGATGCAAAGATGGGGTGACAAAAATGTTGTCGCGCTTTGTTCAGTTAGCATCCGGGACGCATTGTCGTCCCTTGTGATGTGAGGGGTCTTGATGCGCAGGGATTGGATCAAAGAAGCAGCTGAGCCAGTCAGTTTGTTGGACTGTGACCTGTCGGCTTGAGTGTAATTTCAAGTAACTAACTAGCTGACTAGACGACTAGACAGGAGACTGGACTGGACCAGGACTAGATTTACAGTGACAGATGACAGATGCAATGAAATGATAAGTGACATGTGCAATAGTTGTAGCCTCAACGAACTTTGCTCTCTGTGTGTGTGTGTGTGTTCGTTTCCGCGTGTGTTTCTTTTTGAGTCGCATTCCTGGCCAGACACCGGTTGACTTCTTCCTGCGTGGCAAAATGCCTGACCAGCATGGACAGTGGGAGCCGGTTGGATTGTCACTGATTCCCGGCTACTACCTCCGTATCTTCACGTTGAGGTGTCTTGGACCATATATATTGATACAGATACATTGATAATATATTGTCTTTTGAGTCACCAGCATGGAAATATCACTGTTGGCGGGTTACCAGAAAATCGCTTCTGTGACAGTCAGTCTATCGTGTTCCATATCTAGACAGACAGTGACAGTGACAGTTAGTTGAAGTTACACGGTCACCGCACCGCTCATATGTTGCTCTTCCACTACTCCTCTGCCTCCAGATCCCGGGACTTTGGAGTTCCGCAAACACGGACTCGATTGTATTTCATCATGCTGCGCACCGACCTGCCAGCAGTCAATCACTCAACTTTGGAGCCTGGGCCGAGTTTACAGGGCCAAACGAATACGGTTCACTCAGACAATACTGTACAAACAGTACTTGGTACTTGGAAATTAACAATAGTACTAGTACTACTAGTACTGACTCACAGTAGTACTCTGAAGAGTACTCCCTGACTATTTACTATAGTAAGACTCAGACTCAAACTGCAAACTACAAACTGTGTCGTCTTCTTGGCATCAAATGGTGGGCAAACTCAGGATCGCATTGAGGATTTGCTTCGTCAGTTTCAGGACTCTATCCTGGAAAAGGGTGGGCCATTCACGATTTGGGATGCCATCAAGTATGCGAAGGCTGCGCGCCACAACTTCAAACCAGTCACTAGGCAACGGCAAGACTGGACTGGTCTATTTTAGGCAGCCTAAATTAGGCTCATGAATCAAATTATGATATACCGAACGGTCCGTCCAGGTTGTGACAGTTTGTGAAAGCAGTCTTTTCAGTATTTGGCGGTCTGAGGGCACGGATATGGCAAACGCTCCCGGACCTTTTGAGAAGATCGCAGCTTGGCCTGGCTGTGTCGTCCACCTTTTTTTGCGCGCCAAGTAAGTAAGGGCCCCCTTACCTTACCGTATCTATTTACCCAGAGAGTGACAAATGCATTGAACAGTGGACTCCGAAGAGGTTGTATGATGGTTGAAGTGTTGAGTTGTTGAACTGCTTCCAGTACTGCCTCAGCCTAGCAGTACCAACAGGAACCAGCAGGCAGCAGACCTAGTTTGGAAGGCAATTTTTGGAGGTGTTTGCTTTTTACTAAAAGCTCCGCCTAAACCGAACAAAAATGAACACCTCCAAAGATTGCCTTGTAGGGTCATGGTCTACATGTTGGTCTTTATTGGACCCAGTCAGGACCCAGTCGGGACCCAGTCGGGACCCAGTCGGGATCCAGTCGGGATCCAGTCGGGATCCAGTCGGGACCCAGTCGGGAAGGTTCTAAAAACTACTTATTCCACTTGATTTTGTATATATATATATGAAAACAAGGGCTTTAATGACTATTTTTTGTGGGTCCCGACTGGGTCCCGACTGGATCCCGACTGGATCCCGACTGGATCC